ATATATATACACATATAATATATAAATATTGTATAAATAAATATATATCCAGTAAGCAGCTAGAGTATTAATACGTTGGTAGTTTGCCAGCAGAATATTAGGCAGATTGACTGCAAATATATTAAGGCCCACACAGTTTCACAATTCACGGTTAATTCTTAACTAAGGTTTAACTTATTGCTCATCTCTTTTCAATTCTAGAATTGGAAAAAAATGAGGAATAAGTTGAACATCGGTTAAGAGTTAACCATGAATTATGAAAATAGGTCTAAATATTTTGTTGGTTTGCAGATAATCTGATGGCACATTGATGCAGCAAAATTTGTCATTTTGTAACTCTTGAATGGAAAACATCATTTAAATAACTATGAAACATTCTGCTTATATCTTGAGAACAAATTCTATTATATCTTGCTGACATACTATTAACAAAATTTGTAAGCTTTGTATTATCTGTTTTGAATTTAGCTATATAGGTAAATACACTCGTTTTTTGATGTGTGTGTGTGTGTGTGTGTGTGTGTTTATATGTGTGTGTGTGTGTGTGTGTATATATATATATATATATGTTTGTATATAATTAAAATGTAAAAAAGATAAAATATTATATCATTAATCACAATTGCTGTGATATAATGCATGCGGTGCATTATATTACAACCGGCAATAATGATTAATAATATATAATATCTTTTTATATTTTATTTATATATGCAAACATACAAACACATTTTAAAAATATCATAAGTGTATTTACCTACATAACTGAACTCAAAAGATATGTCTATACCCGGTTCTATCAATGTAGTATAAAATTAACTTTAATCTCAGTTTAACTTAGCATTTATCTATTTCGAATTCTTAGAACTAGTAGAAAATAAAAAGTAAATTGAGAACCTCGAGGTTAAAGTGAATCTTACATTGGTAGAATTGGACCTTATGCCAATGTAATTCTTAGAACTAGAAAAAGATAAAGATATTTAATTAATTGAACCGAGATTGAAGTACAATATTAATAGAAATGGGCATTATATATATTGTCATGTATACATCTGGGGCAAGATTCTGCCTTGTTACCTCGTTATAGCTTTCGTTTTTAAAGGACTGTAGTAGAGCCGTTGTAAATATGCGCCGATGAGACTATAAAAGATATTGACCGGCTTGGAAAGCACCATTTTTTCGCATCAATTGCTACCTGTTCTCAACTTTCTAGACCTAGAAGACACGATTCATACGATGAGTTGCGATAAACACAGATCATGCGATAAAAACGGGTGCAAAGTACAAACTGCCGTCAGCTGATAAATAGTAGGTCTCGACTGACGAATCGCTTCGGATCACTCTTAGATGAGTTGCATTTTCGACAATCTTTTTTGTATTTATTCCGTTGCGATTTGTATAAAAACAGTTGAAGAGCGCGAATGCGTTGAGTGTTCTGATAAATATCTTGTATGACGAAACTGAGCGAGTTTTTAGAAGTCTACCTATATAACTCGATCGGGATAAAATTCGACAATCAATTTTTCAGCTGTCAAGACACGAATTGTCTCGAATACGACAATTTCAAATAGTTCGAATACTTTTGAATGATAATGCGCAAGAATAGTCGAATTTTTTTAATTCGTATGATTGAGTAATCGCATTATGCGCAAATGCTTTTATTTCAGAAAAACTACATCTGCACATAATATGCGATCAATCGATGAATTTAAAAAAAATTTGCCTACGAAATCTTGAGAATTCACGGGGCTTTATAACCTCGATTCGAGCCAGACTTCGAAGTTAGTTTTTCCGGAGTATCAGTAATCGCCTGTTTTAATCTTTACAAGATTTTTAATTTAAATAATTGGGAAAAAGTATTTCATCGACTCTGTAGAATGTACATACGAGATCGAGACACGTACGATCAATCTATGAAATTTGTGTGCGGCCTCCAACCCGAATTGGCGAAAAATCGAACCTGTTCTTCAGTTCTTTCTGAACTGATCAAACGCGAGTTTAACAAAACGCGAGATCCATTTGGGATCTATTTGGATACGAAGAAGCGAGACACTTAAATCTGTAGCTTTGGTCAATCTTATTCAATGCGAAAGATCGATGTTTGTATAGATTATCCCTTTAATATCACGTGATTGTTTTATATAATATGTAATCTCTGGAAAATATATTCTCTATCTTCTCGCTCAGTGTAAAAGATGCGAGATGATGGTAAATAAATAATCATGCGGAACATAAAATAGGTACTCGCTGAAAACATTGTTAGAGTATCGCGCATATCGTAATTACAATACTTATTAGTTACATACCTAAGTTGCATAAGAGATTGAATATGTAATAATATAATCACACAAAGAATAGAATATCTAAAAGTATTCTTAGTCCGTTCTTATTTCAAGACTGTCTTAAGTAATGTCTTAAGATACTAATATGGCCCTCTGATTGGTTCTTAAGACTGTATTTATGCCTAATTCACACTGGACGCAGCAAGCATCAAGCAGCGGAGCAGCAACCAATCAGTGAGGCGATATTTACAGTGGCGTAAACAATATCGCTTAGTTGGTTGATTGCTGCTGTGAATTAGGTATTAGACTGACGTTCCATGGAGTGGAAATTTACAGCGGAACGGAACAGTGAGACCAATCACAACTCTGTAGTCATTACTTTGCTTTCTTTTCTGCGATCAATTGTAAATTTCCTCTCATGGGACGCCAACCTTACTATGCTTTTTCTTTTGCGATTGTGATTGGTCGCGCTGTTCCGTTCCGCTGTAAATTTTCGCTCCATGAGACGCCGGCTTTAAGATGGTCTTGAATATAAAATCTAACTATGAATACCGCCTAAAGAGTAACTTTGAATAAACCATTAATTTAATCAATTATAATCTTGCTTACTAAAAATTTCTAATATTGTACATAATTCATATATTATATATAATTATATCTCTGTGGCAAATAATAATAATAGTACAGTTGACAATGGAGCGCTCGCTGTTACTGATGTATTCTTCCAGATCTAAAATGCTGATTGGATGATCTAAAAGAATACATAAATAACAATTAGCGCTTACTCAACTGTTAAGTCCACTGAACGCAGTCATTGATGATTGAAGAAATTATTCGACTGTAATTGGTCAATTTTTTATGATTTAAGGCAGAGCTTTTTAAATGGTCACATAATCGTGTCCCCACCAAAATTTTAACGGCAACAGGTCGATTGTGTATTTTGAATTAAGAGAGTCGATTGTGAATTTTAAAAGAAGGTGAAAATTACAAAAGTAAGCAAAGGTTATTAGATATTGATCAATTAAATTATAAATATTCTAGTGAATTTGCTCATTTTTGTAATTTTCACCTCATTTGAAGAAACATAATCGACCCCAAGGCGAAAATTACAAAAGTGAACAAATTCATTAGAATATTCATAATTTATTGATCAATATCTAATAATTATTGCTCATTTTCATAATTTTCACTTCATTTTAAAATACACAATCAAGCCCTAGGCCTCTCTCAGGGCCGATTGTTCTATCTTTTTTCTTGATAAATTTTCTGTTGGGTAAGAAGCAAGATTATCCAATCACATGCGCGGATTACCAGATTTATTTCACAGGTAAAATTTACCAAAAACTGAAACAACCGACCCTCAATGTTACCCATTTCAACGCTACCTTTCAGTCTTTCTGCCACGCGTGTTCAAAACCATCACAAGTAAGTATAACAATAGTATGTGATCAATTTCCAGCTTTTAACTTCTGATTTATGACTAATGGCTTATTGTAGAATGGCCATAATGGCTACAACATAGACTCTTACATAACACATAAAGAGTTTTGCATAGTGCTTAAGAGAATTGACCAATCAAAATCCTTCTTTTCTAGGAAATGGGAGGAAAGGAAAGATTCTGATTAGTTGATTCGCTTATACTATACACCGTGCGTTATGCATTATGCAAAAGTCTGCGCTGCTTTTAAGAATATATCCACACAAACTTGCATAGCTGCATAAACGTATGCATAAAGAAAATTATCCAATCGGATTTCTCTTAAAAAGTTGCATTTTATTTATGCATTTTGTTTATGCATTTTGTTTATGCATTTTGTTTATGCGGCTATGCAAGTTTGTGTGGATATACCGTAACAAGAAACGCACCTTGTGCATAGACTTTATTCAACTCGCATCATCAGATACCTTACCACATCGATAAAGTAGACCGCTCAGCTATCATCGAGCAAACAGTAAATCGAGTGTACTGAAGTGGACGCGCCAGTGGGGCTGTCTAATCCCTACATCACTCCGGTCATCGGTTTCCTGGTCTCTCTATCTTTCTCAGCGAAACGGTTGATCGGTTGATTCGCGTTGGTCCGTCATATCGTACGTGGATCGCGTGGTATCCGTGTCCGAGTCGTGTTTGTCGTATCTGTCGTGTCGTGCTGTTATCGCGATTCGCGTGTCGTATATTCTGCATAAATCGTATCGTGTATCGTAAAATCGTATATCGTGTCGTCGCACAATTTCGTTCACTGAACGCAATCCGTTCGTACAAATAATCGTCGCACTCCCAGCGCCTCATTCCCAGAATAGAGGCACCATCGAGCGTGTTATAAATCGTCGTGGTCTGCCGTGCACGGGGATCGTAGCGCCGTTAACATCAGTTAACGTTAACGGGGGAGCTCGAGCTCGGAGTCACCGACTTCGTCATGCCGTCGGCCGCGGTCACGACGACGACGGCGACGACGGCACACTCCGAATCGGGAGGAGACGCGTTCTCCCGCTGCTGATATGGGGCCACTGACCGAGCGCTTGGTCCTGGTCTCCGTGGACCCTCCCTGCTTCGAAAATAAATAAAAGTCTCGAACGGCTCTATATAAGGAGATCGTAAACGACGACGACGACGACGACGTCCTCTTCTAAGGTAGACAACCGGGCTCAGGATGGCCTCGACCTCCAGCAGCGATGTCCAGGTGCTAATGGGCAAGGGCAAATGCGGAGCAGCGGCCTACATCAGCCTGGCTACTGGTCGGGACACCGGGACTAATAGAAACCCGCCGTATCTCAACGAGCTGCTGGATGTCCTGCTGAATCCCAGCAAACCCATCGATGACTGGGAGACCATCGATTGGTGCAAGTGGCTCATGGCTGGTGGCCGGACACCCGACGAGTTTGCTAATACAGGTGGTTATCCGTAAAAAAAAAATGATCCTGCGAAGAAAGATGTATAACTAATGATGAAATTAAGCTTAATATAGGCCTATAGATTTACACCAATTGTTTAATATATTTATATCAAATTTATAATTTTTTATTAAATTGTTTTAATTTTGTCAGTGCGTCTGAAGGACGGTGTATTAAGGTGGTATAATGGTACAATATAATGATAAAGAGATGATCAATTAAATACATGTATATACATTTATAGGTATTGTCGAAATTAAGATAATTTAATAGATAATTGCTAATTAGTATGAGTATTAAACGAGTGGTATAAACTAGGACATATAACTAAAATAACTTTATGTTGGACATGATAAGATCTCTCATCACGTAAGTTTTTTAATTTTTAAGTTAAAGTGTTACTGATGAAGACTCAAACTACAATAGAATCGAAAAGTACGTAGTTATACATTTTTGTATTTGCAACTTTATGTTAATGTTGGAAAATTAAAATTGATCTATTAAGATAAATACATATTATTTTCGATGTCTACTCTTATCACTCGCTTTATTTTTGTTGTTTTCATTTTTTTGACATTAATAAGCTTATGTAAAAGTTTTTATTATCAAATATTTTTTAAATAGATAATGTAAGTTATCAAGGTTAGTTAATACAGATACTGTAATGTGTTAATACGGGATAATGTGTTCTTCTAAAGAAAATTTACAATGTTTTATAGAAAGTTCCTGTTTGTTGTCATTACTTGTAAACATTGTGTTTGTCTTTTTCAAAGTACTGAAGTATCGACGCTACAGATGAAACAAAATTATTTTTGCAATGTTTACTTGCTGTTTGAGACAAAATGTTAATGCTAAAAATCTCTATTGATTAACTGAAGAAATTTATTGCAAATATCAATTTAATTTGCAATACAAAGTGGAATGTTGTAGAAGTTAAAGCCAAACTTATAATGCGTTAATATGGTTAAATTAAAAATAGAAAACAGTAAGAACTATAAGAGATCAATGATATTTATTAATAATAAATATAGTTTTATGTCTTGTTTCTTCAAAGCAATGATATAATAGAAAAAGAGGGCAAACAATTAATGAGTGTAAGTTAAAAAATAAAAGCATTCTCTATCACGAAATATCAAAAGGCCAATTACCAGTTTTGACTTACAGAGTTTTCTTCAACTAAAAATAATAAATACGTAAATAAAAAAAAATGACTTAAAAATATTCACAGAAATCGGCAGAAAGTTAAAGGTTATTTAAAGTAACGATTACAAAAACGAAGTCTAAACAAATGTACACATTATTATATAATCAACTGATAAAATGTATCAAATGTGAAAAATAAAATAAAATGAACTAATCAAAATAAAATTAATTAATCTTAGCATATTCGTTCTTTTGTTGAAACTCATAGTCTGCTCTTCAAACCGAGGCAGAATAAATTTTTATCTTTCTTTTATTTATGTACTTTTTATTTAACTGAAGAAGAATCTGTGAGTCGAAATTATTCTTTTGGTATTTTGCAATAAAGTATTTTTATTTTTTAAATCCGTTAGTTGTTCATATTGATCTCCTTTTTTATTATATTGTTATAAATACATTTTTATATCGATTATATTAATTTTATAATTCCTTAGATCCAGTTCCACAACTTTTGTTTGGTTAACTCTTAACCGAGGTTCAATTTATTTCTCATCTCTTTTCAATTCTAGAATAAGTTGAATTTCAGTTAAGAGTTAACCGTGAGTTATGGAATTGGATCTTAGATAAGTCGCTGACTTAGGAAAAAATACCAATTATTGCTTATACTATTTCAAATTTAATTTGCTTGGAATAAATTTTTTATATAATTATTATTTATTATAATTCAATTTGATACATAGGAGACGAATATCATCAATCGGAATGAATAATACTGACAAAAATTAAAATACAATAGTATGAAAATGTTGTAAATTGTATAAGCAATACATTGTTTGAACTGGAAATTATGAGATTCACGCAAAAATATTAGACATCAAGACTCAAGGCATTTTGACGAAATACGGCCTTTATCGCTTATTTGTATTAAACATTTCTCGGTCAAATTTCACTTACTATTGTACAAACAATAATTAACAATTTATCAATTATTTTCAGCGATTTTTCTAAGGAATAATAAAATCAATCACAAAACAAGATTTTGTTAATATAAATAATTAAAAAATTATTTTTGGGACAATATAATCTCTTTTATATCCATTGCAATATTTTAAAATTCTGCATAAATTTGCTCTCACTTTTTTTAAACGCTTTGTATTTAATAGAATTATTTATAACTGTTTGATTATTTTTAAATATTAGTGTTTTATTTAAAATCTTATAAAATGAGCAGCAATCAATTTAAGTTTTTCTATCTGAAAACAATTTTATAGATAGAAAAACTTAAACGAAGCTAATTTTATAGTTAAATAATATATCTTATACCAAAATTATAAAATTTTTAAGAATTATTATTATGGATTAATATATAAAGTTTATATTCGTCATTACAATAAGCACTTACTTTGCTTCGTATACCTTATTTGCAATGTTGCAATTTTATAAACTATACACGCAGGTATAAATATACAGTATTTGCGTATTTGGCAGCGCTAATTTTTCAGATAAACATATAGTCATGAGAAGACAAGTATAGAATTGCAGCTATAGTCGATGACGTTAGCTTAACTCACGTTACAAAAATTACATCAAGTTTCTGTTTTAAATGTTATATAAGGGCAATTTTGTATACTGAGGAATTAATTTTTTTTAATATTTGTCGTAAATAATATAAAGTGTACATTAAATAACATATAATTGCAACATTATTTAGATTACTTATTACTATTCATATCTTGTGTACAATATTAAGAAGAATTTAATTATACCTCAGAGAAAATGCTCTAGAAACAAAACATTTTCGTTTGTATGTAAATGTGTGTGTGTGTGTGTGTGTGTGTGTGTGTGTGTGCGTGCGTGTGTGTGTTCTATTTTTACAGATTATATTATTTTTATTATTTTTATTTTAATATGTTTTAATAAAATAGTAAACATTTGGAAACTCGATGATAATTACAAAAATGTATAATTACAAAATTATAAAAGCGATATTAATTGTATTATAGAAACAAAAGGCTATCCTGTTGTTTATCAAATTTTTACTTTTTTCAGTACGCACTTACGATAATGCTACTACCTGCGGTCTAGTGTGGACACCAAACTTTGTAGCATATCGCTGTCGTACGTGCGGCATATCTCCCTGTATGTCTTTATGTACCGAATGTTTCAAGAAGGGAAATCACTATCGTCACGATTTCAACATGTTTCTCAGCCAAGCAGGTGGTGCATGTGATTGTGGCGATACGTCTGTGATGAAGGAGACTGGGTAAATCGATTAACACAAACACAATATATTTTGTAGAATAATAGAAATTTGCGGGAGATATTGAAAAATCTCTTGACTTCCAAAATATGTTAATTTTTAAATATTATTATTTCTCTCGTTTTTCTCTTTTTCTTTTGAAGGATATGTCAGGAATTATGATTTTCCAGCAAGATATCTTGACATATTTCCGCAAATTTTTTTGTGATCTATGAACACATTCTTGAATTATTTTTCTTTACATGTTGCTGACTCGTTTTCTGTTTTACAGATTTTGTGATAGGCATGGGCCAAACGCAACTGTAAATAAATCAGTTGCACCGTCTGATCTGATGAGTGTAGCCGAGGCAATGATGCCCAGAATTATTCTTCGACTTATACAACATTTACGTGAAAATAGGTATGTTGAATATTATACTTCGTAAGTTATTATCAATTTCTTGAGTAATGAGATCGTAACGAAAAATAGGTCTTTCTGCTTTATTTTAAATATCTGAATTATTAGAATGTAAAAAAATTATATCTTATCTGATCTTTTGCCGCATGATAAACTGACATATTTTAATATATACATATATCTTCAAATTGCATAATTCGTGTTGCTTTTAAAATTTAAAGTGATTGTATCTTAGAAACAAAGTTTTTTTTCACATATATATTTATATTTACTGTTAATTCTAAGAGATAAAGAGAATGTGCTTATCAAATTTGTATCATTTTTAATGATCCTTAAAGATCTTGAATGTAGAGAAATTAAATTGGAACAAAATTGTAATATATGTTAATAATAGTTTTAATGATTAATTATTGTTTTACTTATGTTTTAGTCAAAAAAGTGCTATACATGAGGCAGATGCATATCTCACTATGTTGCTCGACTTGAACAATATGGGCGCATTAATGAGGCATGTCATGACATCAGCTCTCACGAATCCGCAGAAATATCGAGGTCTCATGGATCCTTCTGTGTTAACGGGACAATCGGAGTACGATAGCTATTGCCAAGATAGCAATAAAATGTATCAACATGCTGTAAAATCGCTTCCAAATCCCGAACCACCAGATGAATACAAAGGTAAATACATTTAATAATGCAATATAATTTGACGGTAATTTCACGATAATATTAATAATAATGATTTTTACGACAAAATAATTTACGTATATGAACGACTTATAACATATTTGCTTTTTTAGAATGTGTGTCGCTTCAAGAACACTTAGAACACACCACTTTCTTAGAAGAACTAATGTTCTGGACCGTCGCTTACGAGTTTCCGCAAAAATTAGTCTGTCTGCTTTTGAACATGTTGCCGGATCCCGATTACAAGGAAGCTTTAACTCGCGCCTTTG